ATGGCAATGTTGAAGCAGCTCAACATCAACATACCGTTTGTGGAGGCTCTGTCGAAGATGCCCAAGTACGCGAAGTTCATGAAAGATCTCCTCACCAACAAGAAGAAACTTGGGGATCTCTCGACAGTGCTGCTGAGCGAGGAGTGTTCTGCTATCCTGCAGAACAAGCTGCCCGAAAAGCGCAAGGACCTAGGGAGTTTTACTATCCCTCTTACTATTGGCAGCATGCATGTAGGCAAGTCCTTGGCAGACCTAGGCGCTAGCATTAATGTCATGCCATATAAGTTGTTTAAAAAGCTAGACCTAGGTGAACTTAGCCCTACTAGGATGAGCATTCAGCTAGCTGGTCATTCCGTTGTGCATCCTAGGGGTATCATAGAGGATCTGCTTGTTAATGTGGGTGCATTCACATATCCTGTTGACTTTGTTATTCTGGACATAAATGAGGATGTGGATGTGCCTTTGATTCTGGGTAGACCATTTCTTGCCACCGCCAAGGCACTTATTGATGTGCATGACGGTAAACTGATCATGTGTGCTGGGAATGAACAAGCTACTTTTTCTGTGACTGAATTCGATCACTGTGCTATGATTGCTGTCACACCTGTGCATGCCATTTCTGACCAGGTACACGAGCCTGTCGTGTATCCTTCTGCATCTCTCATTTTGCAGGATCCTCCTCTCACTCCTTCGCCGCCACTCCATCCAGCCTCGCCCCCGAACAAAAAGATCAAAGAGGAGTGGTGGCCGAAGCCGCAGGTGGCTAAGCCTGCTCGGAAGAAAGGTGGAGACCACTATGAGCCGGTTCCACCCCCTGCACTACGAACACCCTGGCCATCCGAGTACTCACTCGCTTGCATCCTGCCGGATGGCCAGGTCAAGCTGACCAATGCTGGTGGTTGTACCCGTCGGGTGCATGGCCACCATCTGAAGCTGTACCTCAAGAGCAATGTGGATCCGCTCTTGGAGGCACCTGTTCCTGCACCTCGCTGAGTATCCAACATGGGCGTCCAACTAAAAAACGGTAAAGAAGCGCTTGTGGGGAGGCAACCCCGCCACGGTTTTCTTTTATTTCTTTTATTTCGGGTCGGATTGCGAACTGGTTTGTTTTCTTTTGTTTTGGATGATGTAATATTGGGCTGACCATTGGACCTAACGTACTGTGTTGGAGTTCTTCTGTTCCCTTTAGCTGTGCCTGTGTCCCTGACTGGTCCTCTCTCCAGTCCGCTTCACTCAGACTGGTCCCCATCTAGTCTCATGCAGTCCGTGCACACCGGTAACTTCGTTCTACCCGCCTTATCTTTTCTCCATTGATAACAATGTCGTGCTTAAGTGTGGGGGGGATGTTCGATTATGAATGCATGTGAATGTTTGGCTGTTTGTGTGCTTGGAGCCTAGTCCACTGTCCAAATCTCGAGATTTGAGGGCTCTAAGTACTGCTGTTTGCTTGATGTTTGATCGTATTGGCACTATGGATGCGATTGGTGAATGGAATGGCTTTTGACTTGATGCATGACAACTTGAGTATGACTAAGACAGCTTATTATGATGACTGAGATGTGCAGTAGAGTTGTGTAGGGGTTCAGTTTTTCAACTGTTTGCTTACCAACTATGACTTGAATTGATCACTTCCTCTTGACAGTCGTTTATGCATCTAGTTCAGGGAATCAGAATGAGTGATAGAGCATATAGGTAGCCATGTGAGATTTGAGCCTGCTCGTTTCTTTCTTGTGAGATAGATCCCTCTTCCATGATGTGTAGCATTCACGTTGTCACTAGCTAAGATGATGGAGGCATAGGATTAGCCCACGACCAAATTGACTGTCCTGATATGTCATATCCCCTAGTCAGCCCCTTTGAGCCATGTGTTATCCTTTCTTTCGGTCTACAATGAAAAATCACCCTTTTGCATCTTTTAGAAGGTTCCACAGAGTGGTTTTTACATGTTTTCTGCTGTTTCTGCTAAATGTAATGTGAGGGTTGGAGGTAGTTCTTAAAAAGTCGGGCATGTGCTTGAAAAATGTGAATAGGTGGTGGTTCTCTTAAGAAATGAAAAATGAATGAAAAAGAAAAGAAGAAAAATGAATGAAAGCAAAAGAGAGCCACCACCACAAAAATCTGAGTAGTGCCCGGTAAGTAGTGCTCTTAGCAGTCTGGCTTGGAAGTACTAACATTTATGTGACCTCCTTCGCTCTTGTGCTCTTAAGAACTCGAGTAATGCAGAATGGCAGGATGAAAGTAAGTAGTTTGATTGGCTGTGATTGTGTTGGGTTGGAATTGTGGAACCTTGTGCTATGAATACCTCCACCACCTAAAAGGCCTTATCCCCATGTCCAAGACCCTAGCCAGTCATTTGAACCTGTGTCTAAGACCTCCGGATTAGTTAGTGGTGACACCCCATATGTGAACTCTAGCATTTAGAGGCTGCATTCATGGTGAAGAGACGTTAGAGATTGAGAGAATAAGCATGTGCATTTTTCGCATCAAATTGTCCTGACCCCACTGGTCGAGAGTGAGTGATTCATTTTCTCATATTCTATATACTCTTTATCCCGGTGAGGACCTAGACTGCTCTGTCTTGATTCTGATATCTTGAGCTTTATGTATGAAATGACTGTCTGGAATAAGTGGTTGAGTCGATTCTATGTTGGTTGGTGAACAGAAGGGAGACTTTTCCCTTGCTCGACTTTGCTGCATTCGAATGTCATCTGTGATGGTTGTCTAGGTTGTCGTTGAGGTTGTCCATGTGTTAATGACCAAAAGCCAGCATGATCCACGTGCTTTGTGCCGATATGATATGCCCTAAAGCCTGCTTGGTTGAAATGTTTTGAGCCTACCTTGTGTCTGACTTAGTTTGCTTGGGGACAAGCAAACGGTTAAGTGTGGGGGGATTTGATGACTCGATATTTGCACATGTTTTCCCTTTGTTTCTGGATCATTTAAGCTTGCATTATCGCTTCTTTGGCCTATTTTATGCTAGGTTGTGTTCCTTTGTCACATTTCAGGTCCTAGCACATAAAGTGAAGCATAGGCGCAAGTTTCAAGTCAATCAGAGATCAATTGGCGATCGGGAGAAAAAACTCGGGCATGACTTGAAGAATAATGGATTTCTACCTCACTTTATGGACAAATAATCATGCAAGCTTGTCATGAAAAGAAAGAGGACGAGACTACGAGCGCCTGGGATCAAACGGCGACTGATTCGGAGTCCGGACGAGGGAGAAACGAAGCATTGAATATAGGGGAACACGTTCGGCAGTAAAAACACGGGCGCGCCTAAATCAAAACACGGCCGTGTTCCTGGACCGTGTTTTTACTGCCGAGGCTTGATCCAAGATTGTCCTGCGCTGACTCAAAACACGGGAGGGCAAAACCAAAGCACGTCCGTGCCCTCGACCGTGTTTTGGCCAGGGTCAGCCTTTTTAGGCAGATTTTAGCCAAAGGAGAAGGGGATTCGAGTTTTAGAGAGACAGAGCGATTCCTAGAGAGAGAAAGCGACGAACAAGAGTTCCCAAGTGATCTAGCTTGATCTTCATCACCATTGGAGCTTGGCTTGAGCTTGGAGGAGTGCCGAACAACGTCGAGGAGCTCGTGAAATCAAACAGTAGGCTCTTACTCCTTCGGGATTTTTCCAATAATAGCACCTAATTTGTTTTTTACAAAACTAGCACCAATTCGAAAATATTGACAGAAATAGCACCAATTTTAATGGAACGCACCCCTAAGGTGCGTTTTACATATAAACCGCACCTTAGGGGTGCGTTCCACGCCACGTCAGCTGACACGCCAAAACACAACACCAAACTGCGACCAAGTGTAATTGCAGTCCGGGAATGCAGTAACAGGCAAGTTCTATTATCAACCCGGGGTCTAGATCTACTGCCTACTCCGTGATTATCTATTATCTAGCCAACTAAGTCGAGTGATTGTTGTTTAAAGTAAAAGCAGTAAAAAGCAGGAAATTTGTTCGGTCTTCTAAAGCAGGGAAGAGTCACTCGGGAATGAGTCCCCCTAGCTCCTTAGTTAGGTCTCAATTTTAATTATCCTGGGTTGATTTACTGTTGATTAAACTGCGGAAGATCCGACAGTAGCTTGGAATCTCTTAAGATGACCAAGCCCTCTCAGTCTAACTACCTGGCAGACGACTAGTCTTCACCGGGATAGAAAGCTGAGGCTATGAACACAGAACTCCACTACTGGAATTGGATTCCAGTACAAAGCAGTAAACTGACTAACTTTCGTATAGCCAATCTCCTACTATCGAATGATGTAGCTCTAACAACCTAATCAGATTCTATCTATCTCAGGTTGCAGCAGAAATCAAGAAAAGCTGATCAGACTTCAATCAATTCAATGAATCATGCATCATTCGATTAAAACCAAACAGTATAATCATCCCAAGTCATTACAATCAAATCCCTAACACATGGAACTAGGGTTCTTCATACCCAAGTGAGAGAAGGGTTCTACTCCATAGAGAGAGAGAGGAAAACAGGATACAAAGCAGTCATACTCATAACAATGGGAAGAATCTGCTCTGGGATGATGATTTCCACTCCTATGACGATCTCCAAGCTCAATTTGATGAAACCCACACTACAAAAAAACGGGTCATTAGTGACAAAAATTAGCGATGATGGGTCAATTTTGTCGCTAAAAGTGACTTTTAGGCACGATATTCCACTTTCGTCAATTATATTCCGTCAACGAGTTATGTATTTGCGACAAAGTATAGACGTCGTCGATAAAGACAATAATCTTTGTCACTAAATCTAATTTTTGGAGGGAAAAATTGGCGCCATGGTTATCTGCTACGAATAAAATCTTTATGTTCTCTATACACAAACAATATGATCGATCAATAAGATATGAAAAGAAAAAAACAATCTTCCAAAATATGATGCTATAGGATTTCTAAACCACCTGGAATATTCTTGCAACTCATCACAATTTTCCAAGACATAGAAAATAGCGGCATCCAAAAGGTTGCCTTTCAATTCTTCCATATTTGGGTTTCCTCCTAGATGATGGCCCACATGTGAAACAACCGATAGTTTGTGATACTTCGAAGAAGAAGGATTGACATGATCGTCATTCCTCTCTGGCCGATTAAATACAGTATCCACTCCAGTCAAATAACGTGAGCAAAATGTGAGGCATTCATCGATCAGATAAGTCTCAGCTATAGAACCTTCTGGACGTGCCTTATTGCCAACATAGCCTTTTAGCTTTTTCAGAAACCTTCAGTAAGTAGAATAGGATAGCCGGATTAAATGAAAATTGAAAGAAGCAGCGCATAAAACACAGCAACAAACAAAATTAAATGAAAACCGAAAGAATCAGTACATAAAACAAAAATGAAACTGAAAAGAAAAGAAAAAAATAGCAACAACAAAATGAAAGCCAAAGAAAAATACAGCAGCAAACAAATTGATGAACCTTATGCATAATCGTCCCTTTCCACTCCATAAAAGGTATTAATTGACTAGAGAAGAAAAGACATACATACAACATCAAGCCTTTAGAAATAAAAGGTAGAGAAATACATGACAACATCAGTACAAACATTCCTTTTAAGGGTATCAAACTGCTGGTAATATATATTACAACTATAGGACAAGTAAACCTGTACAATATCCCAGCAACAAATACATGACAACAACTTAACATAACAAATACATGACAACTTAACTTAACATAACATATCAGTCAAACCAAGCTCCGTTACATAAAAAATGTTAAAGAAACCTGTTGGAGAAGGTACGTACCTTTCAATCGGATACATCCAACGGTATTGCACTGGACCAGCAATTCTTGCTTCCCATGGGAGATGGATTGACAAGTGAATCATAACATCGAAGAATGCCGGTGGGAAAATTCTTTCCAACTTACAAAGTGTCAAAGCTATTTGATTCTCTAGATTATCTAGATCCTCAACCTTCAACTCTTTTGAGCATATTTCCCTAAAAAAATTACTGAACTCAATCAGTGCATCAGATACATCTTTCGGTAATAGCTCACGAACTGCAAGTGGTAGCAATCTTTCTAAGAAGATATGACAATCATGAGTCTTCATCCCTGAAACTTTGCTTTCCTCGAGATTAACACATCTAGATATATTTGCAGATTAACCATCAGGAACTTTTAAACTTGAAAGCCATTGACAAAGAGCCTTTTTCTCCTCACTTATCATACTGTAGACAGCCCGTGGCAACTTAATTTTGCCGTTTTCTTCTATAGGATGGAGTTCATGCCTTATATTCATATTCTGCAGATCAAGCCGAGCATTCAAACCATCCTTTGTTTTCCCTGGTAGATTCATTATCGTACCCAGAATACTATCACAAATATTCTTTTCGATGTGCATGACATCCAAATTGTGACGTACCAAGAGATTTTCCCAGTATGGCAATTCGAAGAACACAGACTGTTTTCTCCAATTATGAGTTTTGCTAAACCCATCAATTTTTCGCTTCTTTCCTTTCTTACCAAAGGGAACTGTTTCCAGAGACAAGATCTCGTTAGCCACTTCTTGACCAGATGGGCGCTTTGGTGCAACCCTTTTTTCCACTTTGCCATTAAAATCTCTCTTTTGCTTCCGCCATTTATGATTTGCAGGCAAATAACGACGATGATCCATATAACATTCTTTACTCCCATTCTCCAATCTCATATATGAAGTTTGAGCTGCACAACATGGACATGCTAGCTTTCCCTTTGTACTCCAGCCTGAAAGACAAGCATATGCTGGGAAATCATTAATAGTCCATAAAATACCAGCTTTCATATTGAAATTTTCCTTCCTGAATGCATCATAAGTGACAATGCCGTCATTCCATAAAATCTTCAAATCATCAATAAGAGGCCTCAGGAAAACATCTATGTCATTTCCTGGACCTTTTGGGCCCGGAATGAGCAATGACATGAAGATGTAAGGACTCTTCATGCACATCCAAGGAGGGAGGTTGTAGGGAAAGACAAGAACAGGCCACAAGCTGTAATTATTATTCATATTTCCGAAAGGATTGAAACCATCGGTAGCCAATCCCAATCTGACATTTCGAGGATCACTAGCAAAGGATAAACTAGCTTCATCAAGGGCCCTCCATGCCTCGGAGTCTGCAGGATGTCTTAAGAATTCATCCTTTGAGCGTTCTTCATGATGCCATACCATATACTCAGCAGTCTGTGAGGACATGAATAACCTCTGCAACCTCTTTCCAATGGGAAAGTATCTTAAAATTTTCCACGGTATCTTTTTCACCTTCCCTTTGCTATCCTTGTAAACTGACTTGTACCTGGAAGCTGAACAAATTTCACATCTAAGAGCATTCTTGTGTTCTGCATAATAGATGATGCAGTCATTTTTACAAACATGTATTTCTTCATAATGCAGTCCAAGATCTTTGACAATCTTCTTAGCCCCGTAATAATTTTTTGGCAAGAAATCAGCCGCCGTTGGTAATGTCTCACGGACAGTCTTCAACAGCATAGTGAATGAGCTGTTACTCCAACCATTCAAGCACTTGATATGCATCATCTTGATCAAAAAGGACAAATTTGAATGCTTCTCACAGCCAACATACAATGGCTTTTCTGCCTCACTAAGAAGTCTAAAGAACTTTTTGGCTTCTACATTAGGCTCTTCTGGTTCATTTACACCATCATTGTCCCAACCGAAATGTGGTCTCAAATCATTTAGCAATCCTTGTATATCATCTGTCTGCATCTCGTTTTCTTCTTCTTCAAACTCATCAGAGGATGAATCAGTGGGGTCATCACGCTCCCCATGATGCTCCCACTTGGTATAATCTCGCTTGATTCCTCTGTATAGAAGGTGTGATTGCACTTGAGTCCTTTCCCTCCTATACAAATTGTCACAATCTACACAAGGGCACTTAATCTTCATGTCTTCCTCGACCACATTAGCAAATGCATAGTCAAGAAAGCTTTCGACTCCATTAAAATATTCTAAGCATGATCTGTTTCGAAGTTGCATCCACGATTTATCAATTGAAGCCATGACTGCATATAAAACAGTTAACAAGTTAAATTGACTCCAGCAAATTGGCAGCAAGGATCACATTAGTTAATACAACAGTTAACAAGTTAAATTGAATCAAGCAAATGGGCAGCAAGGACAACAGTTAACAAGGTAAAAATAATCAATTGACAAGTTGAATCGACCTCAACATTCAATCGACCTCTGATGCTGCAAATTTTAGAAAACCGGCGATCAAACTAGCAGCCTAAAATCCAATGTTTATCAACTGAAGCATACAATGAAAACAAAATTCCATTGACAAGTTGAATCGACTCCCTATACCGCAAATTCAAGCAAACTGATCCAAACATTGGCAAACATAATGCAAAAATAGTATTGAAAGAACAACAAAAGGACAACAAGATAACAACCCACTGTGTGAATGATATTCCCTCATTCATAAGTCATTTCATCATCAATAAACAACAAGAAAACAGAAACAATTGGGAGTTTCAGACTTTCAGTAGCTGAGATTATTCAACTAGGAATTTCTCTCTTACGAGTCTTTAAGGGCTAACTGCTTAGTGCTTACCGTCTCCTTTGATTCTTTGTTTTAGTTCTCTGCAGCGACAGTGAGCAAGTTCAAGCTTTGAGGATTTGTGCTTTGGTAGTTCTCTGCATTTACAACAAGTTCAATGGACAACAAGTTTAGTCGACAATTGAACAATGAAATTATGAAAAGACTTGAGAGTTGAACAGGGGAATCCGGGAAGGGGCTTACTTACCTCTTTACCGCACGATTGAGCAGGTGCAGTCGTGAAGAACATCAGCAAGGCAAGCGGCAGGCAGCGGACATCTTGTTATTCAATCGTCGAAGGACGGCGGGACAGCGGGACTAGGAGTTGGAGAGGAGGGAAGACGGCGAGACTGGGAGTTGGTGGGAAGAGAAGACGGCCGGGGGGGGGGGGGAAATCCTCGTCTCGGCAGAGGGGCGTCCCTTTCGTACAGCAGCAAACAAACAAATCAATTGAAGGCCTTCTGATCGAGAGAAAATTGGGGATTTTTAATATAACTGAAGCTTTAAACGTTATAAAGATACTTACGTTTCAATTCTTACAAGGATTCTGTGCTAGTCGAATGGTTAGCAAGTTTGTTTGTAACAGCAGTATCCTGGGTTCAAATCCCAGTGAACACTATGCACTTTTTTTTTTGGAACTCCTACTACTACCGGGGGTTCGATATTTTTTTTCTCGAAATTTTGGGGTGTCCCGGGAGACCCTTACCTTACCTTTGGGTCCGCCCCTAGACGACTCCGTCGGAGTTACATTTTACGGTAATTACGACATTAGTGCTAGAGGCGATCTCAAATTGACTTGTATATAGAAGTAAATCTTAACTATATATGTATATCAAATTGACTTGTATATAGAAGTAAATCTTAACTATATATATATATATATATATATATATATATGTATAGAAGTGAATTCCGAGATGTATACATGAATTACACCATCCAACTGGCGTACATAACCTAGACGACTCCGTCGGAGTTACATTTCACGGTAATTACGACATTTGTGCTAGAGGCGATGTCAAACTGACTTGTATATAGGAGTAAATCTTAACATATATATGTATAGAAGTGAATTCCGAGATGTATACATGAATTACACCATCCAACTGGCGTACATAACCTAGACGACTCCGTCGGAGTTACATTTCACAGTAATTACGACATTTGTGCTAGAGGCGATCTCAAACTGACTTGTATATAGGAGTAAATCTTAACATATATATGTATAGAAGTGAATTCCGAGATGTACACATGTTTTTAAAAAAAATTCTCAAAATACACACGTTATGAAAATATTTCCCAATCTACGAATGTTTGGGCCTTCACCGCGTCCGATCAATGCGGTGATTGCATCGCCGCATTAAAGAAAAGTGGTGATTACATCACTGCATGAGAGAAGCACGGTGATTGCATCACCGCTGTAGAGGAAGGCGGTGATTGCATCACCGGTGCATCACTGCTCTAGAGAAAGGCGGTGAAGGCCTGACCTGCGTCAAATCTTTAAAAAAAACATAACTTTGTGCTCTGTTATCCGATCGTGGCGAAATTTTTTTTGATTCCGCCTTCATCCCGAAAAAACGTCGTTTGCTACCCCGAACGAGCCTTTTTTCGATTTCGTCATACTTTGAACGACCATAACTTTGTGCTCCACAATCCGAAAATCATGATTTTTTTTTTGATTTCGCATAACTTTTTAAGAACTACAATTTTTAGTAGGAGCGAATTTGTACTCGAGACGATGTCGATATTCGTTGTAGTTGTGAGCTCGTTGAAGTTATATTTTAAGATATTAAAGAAATTTTAATCTACTTGTGAAGAAATACATAAATTAAATTAAGAGAGAAATACAATACAATAGAAAACATTTATTCTACTTTTTTTTATAGAAATACAGTACATTGCTTTGGCCCATCCCTAGTTCCGCAAGAGACGAAACCAAATGGGAAAATAAGGGAATTAATAGAAAAAATAAATTGAATCATTAATAGAGAATATCAAATAAAACAATTATCTCATCAATAGTCATCCCAACCACATATCTCGCGTAGCAGTGGAAGAAACCTAAAACTACTTCCCTTCTCTATCCGTTCCTCTCTTCTTTCTTTCTCATATCACGCCCGAGTCGGAGGTTTTTGGGGGAAGTACTTTAAACGTGGTTGTCGCTAGAATTTGGGGAGATTTGGCGGGATAAATCCAATGGAATCAGCAAATTGGCGGGCGATTGAATTATTTCTCCCAAAGAGACGATTAAGATCCTGGGTTATTATAAAATCAATACTGGATGAGAAGGAGAAGCTAGTCCGAGACTCTCTAAAGGTAATCTCATAAACCCTAGGCTGTTTTTCCATTCAGCGTACTCTGCTTTTCTATTATCCACTTTTACACTATTTAATCATGTTATAAAGCGTCTGTTGTGTTGCAGATTCACTATTTTTGTGAGAAGGATCACAAGGTCTCATATAACCAGTTCTGCACAAGGTGATTTTCGATTCTTTTAATAGCAATCAGTCAATCTTTCAACTTGATTTAGTTATAGGGTTCATTTGTTTTGGCTTTCTGGGGGTTTGAATAAGAGGAAGAAGCAGCAGAACATGGGTTTATGGGGTTCATTTGTTTTAGCTTCGTGTTTTAACTTGATTTAGTTATAGGGTTCATTTGTTTTGGCTTTCTGGGGTTTTCAATAAGAGGAAGAAGCAGAACATGGGTTTATGGGGTTCATTTGTTTTAGCTTCGTGTTTTGACTTGATTTAGTTATAGGGTTCATTTGTTTTGGCTTTCTGGGGTTTTCAATAAGAGGAAGAAGCAGAACATGGGTTTATGGGGTTCATTTGTTTTAGCTTCGTGTTTTAACTTGATTTAGTTATAGTGTCGGATTCTGCCCTTCCACAAAACATGTACAATTTGCCGTGTCTGATGTGCAGTACATACTACCATACCAGGTTGAAAGTTAACTCCGAAGTTCATAGGGATCGATTCCCCCCTTAATAGAATTTGGCTCGGTATAAAATGATTATTTTTTTGGTTGAACCATCAGATTAATTTCGTGTCTCTAGCAATGGCATCAATTTTTGTTTATTGTTCCATGCCCGGTCTAGTGGCGATATGATGCTGAATTAGATGATCAAGTGAGCTATCTGAAGTAGGTTTAATTGGGTATAAAGCTTTGTTGCAGTAGGAAGAGCTGTAATTGCTCATGACAAGTTAATGTACAACTCATTAGTGCTAGCTGTAGGTGGTCATTTAGATGAATATTTCTCTTTTAGTTATTGTCTACTTGTCTCTTGTTTGATAGCATGAGAGTTGGAACAAGTTATAACTTGTGGTCTCTTGTCTGCAAAATTTGTTTGACTGCGAAGTTCATTGGGAACCCAGTTTGTGAAGGCTAAGGGTGGAACAGAATGGTTATGTATGGCTTTTATATGGGTTATGGAGTTCTTTCTGTTTTGGTTTCCTCCCTTACGTTTTGGCTTTAATCCCAACCTTATTAAAGTTGTGTTGCGCTTGTAGATGGGGAAGTCAGGGAAATCAGTAAAGTTTGGGAAGTCTGGGAAGTCTCACAAGGTTGGGAAGGCTGGACAGAAACGTAAGCGTCAGGAGAGGGAAGGCGAAAGGGTGGAATTGGTGGAAGCTGTGACCGAATACGAAGAGTTGACGCCTAATGGATCATCTTCAGAGGCTCCTGCAAGTGAAAGATCAACTGCTCCATCAATTGGGGAAAGTAGTCAACCTGGTAAATATCACAATACATGTTAATTGTCCACAACTGAGTTATGTTTAAACAAAATCAATCTTAATTGCCCTTGTACCTCTTTTTAGCTACCGCAAAGAGTAAGAAAGTTCGAGGCAAGGGCAAAGGAGTTAAGCCAGGGCACAACATAGCTCTTGAAATATATGATAAGAGGTCTGTATAATTGAAATATAAGAAAGTTTGTGCTACTTTGTATTTTTGCTTTGCTGTGCACGTTTCTGCTTGTTTTTTCTAGGCCTGTTGTTTGTATAGGCTGTTTTTTGTATAATTTGATCGTCATTGATTCCATTTTCAGGATAATCACACCACCGGTTGTTCATGAAATCAGTAAAATCTTCCACCAACATATCAAAGGTCCATGGACAACATTCTCGCAGTTTCCTAAAGAAGAATTGGATGCGTTATATGCACGTTTCAAGGAAGCGGGCTTCAGCTGTTCACTTCCAGAAGAAGAAGTGGAGCAAGCTGTTAAAAACTATGTCAAGATGCAGTATGGAAAATGGATGTTTGCCCTTCGAAATGAAGTATTTTCCAAGTTTAGGTCATTGAGTGATATCTACAAGAATCCTCCTGCATCTATAGCTCCTTCTGTTTGGAAGGAAATGGTCGATAAATGGAATGCTCCGACATGGAAGGTATGATTCGATGCATAGGATTAAATTGAACACTTAGTTTTCATTATTATTCTAATTATTATCCATTCATTGTTGTAGGAGATAAGTAAGAAAAATAAGCAAAATAGAGCCAAAAGTGAGCTGATTTCAACTGGTGGTTCTGTTCCAGCGGCAAAATATAGATATGATATGGTATTTATCTGTCATGAACTTATATTGCACCTTTAATTTTTGTACTATCGAGTCTAAGTTTAGTTGTTCCTTTGCAGAAAAAGACAACTGGACAAGAGCCAACTCCAATGGATCTATGGAAACGACAGCACATGAAAAAGAACAAAGAGTTCAGTACCCCAAAGGCTCAAGAGATTAATGTATGGTTTTTGTCTTTTATCTTTATATGTCTTATTGCCTCGTTACGTATGTTGCTTTCTATAGTCTTGTTAATGATGTCTGGTGCTTTCAGGATGAGATGGAAAAAAGAGTTGCTGAGTCTCAGGCTAAAGGTGAAGAACCCAATCATTGGGACATATATCGCCAGGTTGTTGGGGAGCCACGCAAAGGTCGAGTACTTGGGATGGGTTTGGGAGTCACAGCAGCAGATGTTTATGGCTATGCCTCAACAGATGGTTGTAGTAAACGCTGCCAAGAAGAGCGCTTAAAAGAGAAAGAAAA